TTTAGAAATTAAATTTTAATACATACATACCTACATATGTATGTATTTATTCAAGTAATATTAAAGCAATGGCATACATATACTTCTATGTATGTACATATGACCATTACAAATTAAATGTAACAAAAAATGCGTTTTTAGACTCAAAAGAGTTCGATTATAATTTTTTTTTTAGATTTTGTTTATCCAATTTATCGATGTTTTTTATCCATATACATAATTTTGAAATAACAAATTAAAACTCTATGGATTAAACTCTGAGTTAAGCATGAATTTAACTTACAGTAAAAAAAAAATTAATAAAATAATAAAAATCGAACACCACCACGCAAAAGTTTGTTACGTTTAATTTGCAATGGCTACATCTGAATGTTTGTACGTAATTTGAGAAATTGTAGATTTGACAGTGCCTTATAATATGTAGTAATTGGCGATTTTTCATTTAGGAAAGAAAAACATAAGTCCAAAGGTGAATTTGCCTTGATAAGTCCATTAAAAATATAAAAGCAAACATATATGTATATGTATATATCTGTTGTCATATGGAATAGTAGCTGAATTCCGGAGGCTGGCTTTAGTATAATGTGCTGTGCTATGAAGAGCTCTTGGCAAATAAACATGATAGGAATAGTTCTGTTGTTAGCAAATTAATATTCTCGTTGTCATCAATCACATTGTACTAAAGCCAGCCTCCCGACTTAAGCTACTACTATTTCATATGACCAAAGATGTGTATGTGTTTCAGTTACTCATGAAATCAAAGAATATATGAGGTGTATGTACATACACGTGCATGTACATAATATGGCTTATGTATAAATAAATAAAAACGTAAAAATATGTGTATTAAAAATTATTAAGACTTACATACGTAGTATATTCATGTACTTTAAAAATACCGGCTGAATAAAACAAAAATAAAAATTAAATCCCTATTTTAAATATTTTAAACTTAAGATTTTATTTTGTATACCTGAGCGCACTTGTGCACAAAGGTTTTATGACTTTGTTCGCATAACGGTTGTTCGCATAACGGTTGTTCCCATAGGGCATTCTTCAACCAAATTCTGAGACAGGGTTCCCACGACAGTCGGGTCTACGTAACCGGAACGACCCAGATTTATATCTGGACTTACTCCAGCAACACTCCCCAAAAAGTCTTTGGGGAATTTGTATGCTGCTACAACAACAACAACAACAGGGTGTTTTTCAATAAAGTTCTGAAATAGGGCGTTCTGCAATCAAATTTTGAAGTAAGGCGTTGCTGCCATCGATATGTATATGTATACGAAAACCGCGATAAATTAGTATCTTCAGAAGTAATTTCACTCATAATTTATATTTGCAATAATTTTTTGCAATTAATGAGGCTATCATAAATTTTTGGAAAATGGATGTTGCGCCGAAACTCAGATATCTCAATAACGAAGAACGCTTATTTACTTCAAGTTAATACTTAAAACAATATCTTAACAAATAATAAGATTACTATAGATTTTTGGAAAATGGGGATGACTTAGAGTATCGGTCATATCCTTAGCATCCCACTTTCAAAGTGATATTGTTTTCCACTTATGTTTATTTATTCATTTTTCATTTAATTTTCAAACAAAATACAGTTCATTCTGTAACAAAACCCATAAAAAACCAAGCTACTTTTGAGTATTCATTCAATTTTAGTGCAATAATGTGCAAGTTTAAAGTGGCTAAAAATTATTGTTGATTTTTTTAGATTTTAACGAATACATAAACAGAATTTATTTTTATATGGAAGAAAACCGCAACACCTTCGGCAAAAAAACTTTTAATGGTCAATAAAACTGTATATTCAAATAAATTCTAACACTTCTGAGAAAAGTTTGAAATTTTGACTAAAATTTTTTTTTAGTTTTCTACAAAGTTTTAAACTTGGTTTTTTTTAGAAAATGAACTATATCTTAATTGAAAATTAATTAAATATTTCCATGTAAAAAAAAATTAACTCGATTTTCGGAAGAGATATTTCCGCAAGTTTTGGCTATTTATCTTTTTTTTTAAATGTTTATTGTTATCTATGTAAATATAGCAAACTAAAAAACCATGAAAATGAAAATTTCAAACTTTGTAGAACATTTATAAAAAATTTCTTCCAAATTTAAATCTTTTTGATCAGGATTTTTAGAATTTATGCAGTTTTGTAGTAAAGTGCAAGTTTGAAAAGGCTAGGACTTAATATTGATTTTTAGCAATTTTTTGTTCACGCATTTTCTTCCATAAAAAGTATGTTCAGCAACAACTACCACAAAAAAAAAAAAATCAAAAAATAAACGTTAAGTCCTAGCTACTAAAAATTACACCTCGTTATAATAAAATTGAATGGCCTACTGTATACTCAGAACATCTCTAAGAAATCTAATTAAAATCTAATAAACATTTTTATGAAACTTTGTCGAATTTTTGCTAATTTTTGTACGAAGTTTGAAATTTCCACTTACATGGTGTTTGTTAGATAACGAGCTACACTTTCATACAAAAAAAAATAATAACTTAAATAAATGAAAGCGAAATAGCCGAATACTGCTAAAATGTTTTTTCCCTATTTATATTCTCGCAACTGTAGGAATTCTATAGTGGCATACAAAAAAGGGGTGACAAAAAACACAAATTTGTGATCCAGTGTTATCATTCCTCTTAAACACATTGCCAATACACACATACACCTGCGTTCAACTAATTAGAAAAGAAATTCAAAATGATATTATTTGCAAATTATTTTTAATTTGTTTATTTTTATTAATTTTCATTTAAATTATAATTCAATCTGTAACCGAAAACACAACAATAAAAGTTTCAAAGCTTGCAAAATTGCAAAAACAATTAATCAATCTTCAAAATATTGTCATCAAAATTTCCAAATTTTTTATCAGAATATTTAGAAAAAAAACCACGGTAATTTTTAACGACTGGAGACATGCACTTCTTAGACTACAATTGAATGGGCTACAGAACTGCATACCCGAAAATTTTCTAAACATTCTGAATAAAAATTTGGAAATTTTCATGACAACTTTTTTAAGTTTGAATAATTTTTTTTGCTTTTTTTAAAAGCTGTGAAACTTTTATTATTGTAGCTTCTGTTACAGATTGAATTATATTTTAAATGAAAATAATAGAAAATAAAAAAATAAACATAATTTGCAAACAATATCATTTTGAATTTCGTTTCTGATTAGTTGAACGCAGGTGTACATACATCATTCTAAAGATGCAATCATTAAACTGCATACTCGTATGCAGTCAAAGCGAAATGATCGACAGCAAAGGTTGCTACTTTGCCTCAGGGTGAAGATCGCAGGGTGGTCTGGCGCTTGTTTTCTTAACTCTGTTGTTTTCTGCTTGTCAAATGTGGCATGTGTTTATGTATTTACACCTTCGCACCAAAACATTTACCAACACACTGCGCCACTCCATCAAAAAATTACTCCAATGTTGGCCAAATTATACGTCTACTGATAGCCTGAATAACCAACCATAGGCATTACAGTGGCAAAATAAGGCGTTCGAGTGGATTGGTGAGGCAGTGCATTAACAGCTCAATAGAAAATCGAGATATCCATGTACTAAATCGTAATGCAAACATACACACCTACATACATACATATGTGCATGTTCGACAAAAACGAACATCTAAAAATACATGAATATACTTGTAGATACATACATACATACGTATGTATTTAGGATTAAAAGTTTACATTAGAAATTTATTAAAACAGCAGAAAAATCGCACCAACTAGTTGGTGGTTATTTTGTTTGTAAAAACTTATAAACAAAAGCGTGTAGCCGAAATTTGCTGGAAAACATTTTCCAGCGTGAGGCACCACTATGTAGGTACATCAATTGGGAAATAAACCTAGAAAAAAAGAAAAAACATGTCTAGTCGTTCAGTACAATTACTGTATATTGTATGAATGTATATTTATATATGTGCATTGTATGTATGCAAAAAAGCAGAGTATAATTTTGAAATTTCTTCGCGCTTTCCAATTTTTGTTTGACTCAGTTTAGTTGCCTTTTCTAGCTCCTAACGTTTAGAGCTTCTATCTACCAGACGCGTTCAGCCTTTTATATTAAACTAAATTTTTGAAAAAAAAACGCGATCGCATACTTTGAATTTTTATAAATTGTGTGTGTTTCAAAGCTAAAAAATTGCATAACTTAAACAAAATGAATACTGCGCCTACGCAACATCGCACACGTGCGAATCCCGTCTCTTCGCATGCCATCGTATATCCAACAACGGATGTACGATTGCCAACCGTGCAAGGATCGCGCGTCTACCAGGGATTGAAAACATGTATGTATGTTCTACCTGCGTATGTGTAGGTATCGCCAAAAAGACGTTAGCGACATTTTTTTAATTTTTTTCTTTTTGATGCAAGAATCTTCCTAGAGCATCCAGATGTATTTCTGCATCCAAAATAAAATTTTGAAAATGTCGCCTACGTCTGTTTGGCGGTTAGGGCTCGATATGATGAATCAAAAAAAAAAAACATCGCATTTTATGTAATTTGGTCCTGTGCCAATCAGTAGAAGAGTTCTATGATGGAAAAAACTTTTTACTATGGTGAGAAAATTTTACATTTCTGCTGTGCCAATTCGTAACTTTTTACTGCTGGAAGTTTTTGACAGAACGCTCCGGTGCAAAAGAAGTTGAGCCATTAAAATGCAGAGCAGATGCTCCATCGTTTCTTCTGCATCTGGTGAATTACAGCTACGACAAAAACTGCTGTGTT